GATGATCAGGTGTTTTCTCGAACACTTCTTGAGGATGCACTGAAGCCTCATTAAACTGGTACTTTCCGTCTGAGAAGTATTTCTAAAAATGAATAAAAGAAAATATGATAATTTTTAAATTTCCTTGTTATTGCTGTGATTGTGTATATATTGAAAGTCTGTGCGTAAGTGTTTTTTACACTTTCTAAATTTAAATTTAGAATCAATTTTAGTCATATAAAACGAAAGTGCATCATCTCAAGTTGCTACATCACGTTATGAATGATGAAATCATAAGGAAAGAAGAAATAGATATCCCCATCGAAATTTGAAAAAAAGCTGAATATTTATTTTGTATTGAGTTTCATCTGTTCTTAATATTAAATTAAAAATAAGTTCTCAAATAATTCATCTGGTGTTATCAACCATTGTGTAACGTTATTACACATCTTTTATCAGTTGTTACACTCGATTAAGATGTAAGTAGCATGTGTATATTAGGGGGTAGATTATCAAGCCATATGGTGCACAGGATTATTTCGAAATGAATGTTGATACCAATACTTATCAGTTTATGATACATTGGTGGAAATTTTTAGATTGGAAGAAGGTTTTGAAGATGATGAACACTCCATAAAATGAATTTGGGTCATTTGAAGGACATATAGATATCAGAAAAAATGGACTGGCCTAAAATGTACTTATTCTAGGTAAAGATTAGAAGAGACTTCAGATATACTGTTAAAACGACTTACAAAATATCCACTATCCTTCTCTCATGAATTCCATACGTGTGTTTGAAATTGACCTATATGTTAAAGATTCACATTTTTAGCATCTTGTGGTACTTTATAGGGTTCATTAACATTAATAGTTACATGTTTGCGTAAGTTTAGGGGGTTAGATTTTGACAGAACATGTACGCAGTTGATTCGATATTGCGACGATGATATTTTGCGTTTGCAAAATCCTTCCTTATGACCAATTACTTTATATTTTGCTCATTTATGGTTATAGAATAGGCAGAAACGGGAGTAATGCCATGCCTCACAGTTCAGCAACTAGATTGGGATCTGACTTTATTTTGCTTAAAATTACAATCTGAGTCTGACGATGATTGTAACCCGCATATAAACATGAGACACTTAAATTGTTCGCCAGAAAGTGGATGCAACTTAAAAATTTCTCATTGCTTATTAACAAATGTTGCATATGAAATAAAATCATCTTCAGGTCGCTTAATAATTTCAAGACAAATATATCACAAGTTAAAGAAGTTTGAGTAGCAAAAATTCCTGTAGGTTTTTTACTGTAGTATAAAGAGAAGAAGCACAAAGTTGTGAGACAGAACATCAAGTTCCTCTACAGCGGCGATGTAATACACGATAACCTCTCCTCGTGGCTACTTCAGCGAGAAGGTATGTACGTATGTACTCAACTATCCCATAGAATATTAATCAATTTCTTGGCCAATGATATGCATTTGGCATTCAGGTCGTCATCAAGTGACCATTTCCTTTGGCTACTTCTGACTGGCTCAACATATCAAACACATACCTTTTGAGGAACTTGAAAACAAATGGATTTGTAATGTTCTGTATGCCCCGGATTATAGATGAATTCCACGCGTAATAAATATTTGATCAACTTCTCTTTGTTAACTTACACTGTCAATCCTTTCACTGTGTAGTGACAATTGTTCAGAGCCTATTGAGATCACTAATCGATCTAAATTTGACAACTATTGAAAACGTGGGAGCACTGAACAGCCGTTTCACCTCAGTGAGAAATTGTGACCAGTGTTCGACCATGTTGGGTGTGAGTGATGTATACGCAAAAGGTAGTGCAAGATGGTCGCGCAATGTCGCTAATAGCTTGAAGTTAGACTTGCTAAAACTAGGGATACGCACTTCCAGAGTTCTATAATAGAACGAAACGCTCATATGGTGCTCCCAAGTTTTCGGTGGTTGTTTAACTTAGGTTCGTGATTAGAATTACAATCCTTCCAGGTGACGCCACTTTCATTGTTTTGTGAAAAAGTAGAAGGGAATTACCTCAGAACCGCTACTGGCTCATATTGTGAGTCATATCTGCTAACGTCTTAACCCACTGTGTTGCACCATCTCTCAGACCCCAACCAGGAGGTTGTGATGGACTGAGAGATGTCAATCCTGTACAGATCTCTTTCATACCTCGGGACCATACCACATAAACCAACCGCTTCTCTACTTTTTTCAATGTGTCCAAACATCCCGGAAATAGAGCACAGTTTGGATACTCGTATCAAATGTCCGAGCCATCGTGGTCGATGTTTCAGGATGGTGAAGCCAATTGAAGTCATTTTGCCCGAACATACGTTGCCAAACCTCTGCATTAATAACATGGTGTTGTGATTATACGTAGAATGATCGCACCAGTCACTCCACTACTAGCACTCGCACAACTAATCAGATACACGAACTTTCTGATTACTTCTAATTGTTTATCAATAGGACTGAGTGCAAACACAGGCGGCTGTCTATCTTGCAAAAGTACTTGTACTTAGAAGGCGCAAAGCACATGCCATACCTACGAACACTGATTATCACCTGATTAAGTGCTGATTGGATGGCTTAAATATCTTCGCATAGTAAGACAATATCATCATGGTTGAAGATCGGAAATTCTTTCTCTAGGAAATAGTTCCACACCATCATTACTTATCTTCACTAGAGATGTTTCCAGAATGTCGTCGATAATGAAGTTGAGGATGAATAAAGAGATTGAGCAACCCTCCTTAATGTAACTGCTTGAACAGAAGAAGTGGTCACATGCTCCCACTCTGGCTGAGGTGTTTGTTCGTATAGCGTTCAACATGTTAATCAACTTCTCATGTACAGCCTTTTTTAACAGACAATTCCAGAGTGCTATTCTGTTTAACGAATCAGTGGAGAGACTGGTATCAAAAAATAAAATGGTTGTTGGCCTGTAATCAGCATAGCTGTGTGTTAACATTTGGTAGGGGATGTATGTATAACCAATGAATCCACGACCAGAATGAACTCCAGACTACTCCTTGCAAGTCAATGTTTCATGGGTCTTGGACGATCTGTGAACTATAAGGGTAGCTAATAAATAGGATGGAATCGGATTTAAAATTGTTTCCCGACAGTTGTTGTATAGGTGACGTTTGTCCTCTTTAAAGATATGAACGACTCTTTCCTCGTTCCACGATATTTGAACAGTCTATTTACTAAACATTTGTGGACGACTTGATCAGTTCCATAACCAGGAGGTCTTACAAAGAATTGAAGGGGAATCATTTGGTCTGATGTTTTGTGGAATCTCAGGAGTTGGAGTTCCCCACGGACTTTGGTCTCGCCAGGTGTATCAGTTAACACTGACCAGAAAGGATAGAACGGTTCGACTGATTTTGTTAGTGCAGGAGATCAGGTGAGTTTTTCGTCGAGGAACTCTGCCCATTTTTTAGGATGTCGTTGCTTGTTATTGATCGGTGTCTCATCAGTTCCACAGATTGTTTTACTCAAAGTAGATTTCTTGTGGGCAGTGACCTGAATGAGTTGAAAGAGCAACCACCAGTTACTAAATGTGGCTGCTGCTTCCAACTCGTTAGCACGCTCCTACTGTAATGAACGAAAACCCAGGTGGGGAAAACAATACTACACTACCACCAGGTTTCTTGATCCTTACGCAAGCTTTGCATAATTTCTGCAATATTGTGCAAACGTTGGGGCAGGTCAGTTTGAACGGCACACATGATTTCAGAAAGGCTAGTTCAGGATTCGTATTCGGTGGTGTCATTAAACTTTTGACCATTCAGTGACTTGAGATCTTTTAGGTAGGATGGAATTTCCACCATAGATAAGCCTCTGTATGAGTTGAAGAACAATAACTTATACAAAATGTAAATAGAAAAGAATGGACAGGTGACGCAATGTAAAATCCAGATGAATGTCACCGAATAATTGTTTATGGAATTTGTGGGGATGAGAATGAAGCGAAAATAAATTCCGGTTGTAGTTGTCTTTTGATTTGTGTGAGGGCTAGGATACTGCATGGGTGCCCAGCAGATTGTTCTCTTAGAGGGCTACTCCACAAACCTTTGATCTAGAGGTATAGTCCAGAAGGCAGTGGAGCAACGTTAGGAGGTGCGGTCCCATGGAAGCTGATGGCCACGAATATGTCCATAAGGCATCTGTTGCCTCAGAATCCTGGAGTCCATGTGGGCCATTGGTTTGGAATCAATGTTTTCCAACTCCCTTCGTACCCACCAGCCCGGTTCAAGCTCTGGAAATTCGCGTTTCATCCTCTTAATTTAGTAAATAAAACCCCGTTATTTCCCTATCGGTGGCTATATATACGTGGCCATATGAGATCATTTCGAGAAGGGGAGCGGACTCCCCCCACTTTCGGCTGTATTATGGTAATTGGGGGATTTCCGTTCATTGATATCTGAGGAACTTCAGTAAGTCGTAACATCGTATTACTTAATAGTATGCCTTTTGGTTTTCAGTCGTATTTCGATTGTATTCAATTCGTTGATGAATACCACCTACCACTAATTTCTATCATTGATATAGTCATTGTTTTATGTAATTTTAATTCACATTACTTTACAGTCATTAGTCAGCATCCTTTTGTATGTCTTCTTATTAGCGGTTAGATTTTTCTTCGTATTGTTTATACGTATATGTGAATGACTAGTTAATAAATAATTATGTTGACACCATCCGAGCATGTGAAAATTGTGTTATTTCGTAAGCGAAAATTCCAGCTTTATGTAAGCATGCATGATTAAACTGATATTATTGTAGTTAAATATCCAATCTATTCACCTAATCATTGTAGTTGTCTTATTCTTTTCTGCTCAATACTATCCCCAGTGTTATCAAAGAAAATCCTCACGTACACAGCTAGGATGATTTTTACGTATTATTAATTAATTCACCTCTATCGTTTGTATCATTCACAACTACCAACATTGCTTCTTTATTTCAGGCTTTGATATTAACTTTTATAAAATGAGCGGTAGTGGGACTGGAGGTGGTGGCAGTAGTGGTGGAGGTTCTGGTCGTGCACACTTTCGTAGTCAGTTAGGATGTTGTATATGTGGAACAAAGTCATCATCCTCTCGTTTTACCTCTAGTCAACGATATGCTGAGCATTTTGGTGCATGTTTTGGTCCACAGGGGACTACACGTTCAGGAGATTTATGCAATGCATGCGTTCTTTGTGTTAAACGTTGGCTTCAACGGGGTAGACAACCGAACTTCTTTGTACAGGTTAGTATATTGCTTATTTTTCTGTAGAATGTTACTCGCATATGTCATCTATTTCTTCTAATTTTAGAAGTAGTATGTTCTTCATTTGTTGTATTGTTAGATGTAAATTTAACTCACTTATTGTCACCTATTTTTAGGTTTAATTGTGTTTAGTTCACATCTCCTTTACTTATTTCAATAAAATCATATATAATAATGTTGATAATAACGATTTCTCCTATAATTGTTAAGTCTATTCTTCCTGTAGCATTATATTTTTGGCTTTTTTTGTTTTAATATGATATTTCAGTCAGTCTCTTTTGTAATTACTCTCTGTTAGTAATAATTCTTTTGTCCATAGTTCTTACAGTTTATTTCTTAATCAGACTTTAAACTTCAATAAATTTTTCAGTGGTTCCTGAGATAAATCTCGCGAATGTTCAGTTTCCTGCATATCCGTTTGTGCAGTATCGTATTATGGTTGAGAATGTTACATCACATCACCAACCCTTTCAGCTTATTTTATGAGGATAAGGATAGATAAATTGTAGCTGGCAATAGAAATTAGGACAAGCATTTTATCTTATCTGGGACACGCCAACTAAATGTACCTGCATCTAAGTATTGATGCTCACAATGAGGTTCGAACAAAATACCTTCCCTTCAAAACTGTTTGAGTTCAGATAGGCACTCCTATATGGACTGGATATGGTATTTATATTTATATTATTATTATTATTATTATTATTATTATTATTATTATTATCATTATTAGAAATTTATGGGGATTTTTGTCTATATTTAGACGTATACTTTCACAGTAGTTTGGCGCTGAATTAATATAAAACCGAGTGACTTCTATTGTTATTGCTTATGCTTATAAATAAAAAGAAAGCATACAAACTCAGGTCGATATAGGTTTAATAATAAATTAGCATAAAAATCTGATCGTGTATTAATAAAAAGATCTTTTAAACCTGTTTCTCCGTAGGTGATAGAGTACTAGCTGTTCATGAGTTAAAATATTTCATGTAAATGTATCTGTGTATGCATATAATGCTTTACTCTTCTTTCTATACATTTCTATATGGATAATTTTTATTATATTTCTAATATGGTTAAGTGTTTACTTGCTTTTTAAAAAATCTTGAATTAAAGGTAACAAAATTATTTATACATTACAAAATAAAATATACATTTGCATTACTAGTTTTCTTTGGAAATCCCTGGTTAGTTTAATTTTAATCCCAATGTAATCACTTGTAAGACCATTGGAACAGACAATAAATTATCATTTGATTCACTTTTGTATTTTATTTTGCCTTGCAGGACTAGAACTCATATTCATTGTATAAAAATATATCATATATTGAAAATTATGATACTTTAAATAAGTAACCATGTAGTTTAGATTATAATTTCTTATTATTAATGCATTATCAGCTGAATCTACTTACATTTCAGTATTCTTGTTCTCGTTGGGATGTCAGTTCGAATATAGTTGTCATAAAAGATTCGGGAAGAGAATTATTTTTTGTTTACTCGATAGTAGCAATAATGGATGCTTATCGATAGGTTTTAGTTGGTATTTATTCACACTTATACTGTTTTTTATTAGATAAAAATGTTCTTTAACAGTCCTTTCTGTTGTAATTAGTAAGTACCATGACGTAATTTTATGACTTTTTCAGGTTCTTGACAGTAAGAAAGGTCCTGGACCGAAACATATGAAAGAGATTACTAAACGAGCTCGTCGTCGGGAAGCCAAACAACAAGCGGCTGCTGCTATCGCTTCATCTGTAAGTAAAGAACAGAAATCCGTAAAATCTGCTTCGATTACTACCACTACCCATACTCCTACTACACGTTCGTCTTGTGGAAACGGTCATCATTGTTTGAATAGCAGTTCCGGCTCATGTGGCAATCTTCATTACACACAAACAAATCCGAAACCGGAGCATTATTCGCATACATCACCTAGTTGTATTCGCGTTCAGTCGAATATGTTTTCCCAGCAATCTTATATGGGAGGTACGACACGATCAAGTGCACAACACTCTCAGGCATTATCAAATGGATTAAGGTGTTCTTCGCATAACAATAGCAACAATAATCGTAATAGTAATTCCCACTGTTATAATCGATCATTAAATCATAATAATAATAAAAATGACACTTTAGAACACATATGCTGTTCTTGTACAATTTTGGATCAGAAAGAATATTTATCGACATTATCTCATCCACAAGGTGCTACACGAACTCGTGCAGCTGCTGCTAGGCAATTAGAAGCAGCCAGTAAGTTTATTTTTATTTTTTGTACGTAATGCGATTTTACTGCATTAAGCATTTAAAACGTTTTCTTGATACAAATGTTATATAATCGTCATCTGTGGTGGGAGGTGATCTTCAGTAACAATCTAAAAGTATTCCGCTGAAGGTGTATTTATTTTTATCGTCAGTTTCGTTCTTTTTTTCGAATGATATGTATTCCACTTTTGTATATTGTAACTCTTGTCTTAATACACCGATCTTGAAATATGGTGATCTCAGTTGATGTAATTCTATGCCAGATTTTACACTGTTTATGAGTGATCCTTAAAATACCTAATTCTTTCTATGCTTGGGTTGGAAATCGTCAGTTTTAGATAAAGCCATATTACTTTATTGGAGTAACTCAATTTTATGAACAATAAGAAGATAAAAATCTGAGTTAGTAGCTATGTACTAGTGTAAACGATCCTACTGCTTCACTGTTGATACAAGTAAGAAGTAAATGTTTCAACTGAACAATTTTTAAAACTAGTTAAGAATTAAAACAACTTCTTTACGTATGCTTAAATAAATTTTTGTTATTATATTACTAGGATTATAGCTGTCAACAATCGATTCTCATCACATCTTCTTTTAAAGCTACATTACTTGCGGAGAAGTGTAAAGATTTTATATTGTTTTAATGGGTTAGAATAATTTCTTCTGTTTAAAAGATTTTTCACCATGAGTTGACATCATTTGAAGAAGCAATAAGAAAAGACTATCAAGCTGAACTACTTTTTGAAAATTTTGATCAATGGATATTAAACCATTTATCAAATAAGTTGAAATTCTGTATTTAGGTTTCGTGTCTGTATTGGCACTTGTCGTAAAAGCTTATCTGCAATTTTGAGGGGATTCAAACAGGCATCCTGCAATAAAAGTTAAATATTTACACTGATTACTCCCAGATTAGTGACTGATATCATACTCAAAATAGCTAATGCGTCGAAGAAAATTGGAATCCAACGAGTAGTGTAAGTTTCCTCAAGATTACAGGCCAGCCTTGCTGCTAAATGCCGACTATCATGGAACCTAGGTCCGATTGTTTGCAATCACTTAACTTCAAAGTATAGTGAATTTAATTTTTAGTCACTTACACCAGTAATCTTGTCTTAGTTTGATTGATTGATTTCGACCAACACAAAGGACTGAACAGGTATGGCATATTACTACTAATCAGTTCAGATTCAGTATAAATTTTGTATTCACTGGAATATAGTGTAGTGGTGCTCCAGCCATGAGGATGGTCAAGCCTCATTGAGGGAAGCCTACTGTCTTTGTTGGCAAGAAAACTGTCATTTTTGAGGTACACAAGCCTACTACGTGGACTTTTTGTGGGGAAGTAGTTAGAAACCTCCTGGGTCTTGATGCGCAGGCGTCGTCTGAAGCTAGTATATATTACATGCATACTAATAATACATAGGTTTTCACCTATGTATCCCATGGCATACAGATAGGCAAAGTTGTCCGTTTGGGAGGATTGACTTGACCATTCTGTTAACTCGTATTTGCTACGTCTTATACGTTATAAGCACACCAGAGGTATATAAGCTTGCGCTCATGAGCATCGTAGCATACACAGGCATGAGATCTCTTAGTGAAGTGCTGGTGGTCACCGCTTCTCTCACTCGTATTTGATACAACTTAATCAGAATACTGACTTTTATTACCCCATCTCTGTGCTAAACCAATGATTCGTCAAATCAGGGCGAAAACATATTGATACACCACACTTCCCTGAAATCCTGATTAGAAATCCTGACTAATGAATCTCACTTATATAGTGTGTAAAACTGTTACCCACTGATAGCAACCAGAAATGTAGCGCTATATCATAAATTGATTGAATTAAGAAATTTGAATCATTAGATACAATTCATTGGTTTAAAGCCTCGTTTCAAAATTTCAAGGTTTAAGGTTCAATCTGTTTTGACGATGTAGACGGACAACACTGTTGATAAGACCTAACCATAGACAAGCTTCCTTTTAGGATGATTATGCTAGTATATTAAAAGAGTTAATCATGTTATGTAATATTGATTTAATGTATGTCAAACATGTTTTTTTTCCAGTAAACATTTTATACTTGTTTCTTTTTTCTTTTTAAATTTTGACTAAGTAATAAAATAATGTTGTTTTATACATTTTTAGAGGTAAAAATAATAGTTGTACTGTTTTATTTCCCATGGTAATATTTGTAATCTGATCTAATTTTTATTGGGTTAACCATTTTTAATAATGAATAATTTAATGAGGCCATAATTTCTATTGTGTATTCTGACAATATTTTTTTAATTAAGATTAATAATATTGTTTTTCTATTTCTTACATCTTTTCAATATAATAATATCGATTATTTCAATAAATGATAAGGAACTTGATCATTCTTAAGATATCTATACCATTTAGTTAGTCAAGTTTTATCTGCTAGTCTCTTTGACGCGTTAAGCTATTAAATGTAGGAGTTGGATGGAGATCAAGTTCGTTTGCATTTGGATATGATATCAGTCAACGAGATAATAGACTGTTGAAGTGAGCTGCTTTGGAAGAAGTAATCTTCTCGGTTGAAGTCAAGAAGCTAGTCCGAATTTGTTTCAATTCAAATGGTTTAAATAGGTCATAGTATGCTATGTGCTACTTACACAGACAGGTATAAGTAGTATGTATCAGGCATGTGAATTAGAATTCTTACTGACATTAGGGGAAAATAAAGAGAAGATGAGAGAAAACTGAAGCCAATCAAAATAAAAATACAAATGAAAGAACACTGAAGTCTGTAAAATACAATTCGAAGAAGATGTGCAAATGATATATTTAGTGTATAATTTTCATATTTTATTAAGCCACTGTGTGATTTGCCATTAAACAATAAATAGATTATCCCCACCAACTCTTCGTTCACTATAATAACAATGCAAATTTTTTCATGCTTCATTCTCTTTAAAATCTTAATTGTTAATATTGCTTCATACAGTTTATTAATCGATTCTGTTCATCAGTTGGTAATCATATTCCCCATGTTTAGCTTTCTTCTATTAGTTCAGTATTGTTTTGATTTGTTCGATTTTTGACCTTAGAGTACGGCAATTCGAGGTGATGTAAATGTGTACCAAGCCTTTCATTGTTGATAGTTGTGTCATTATAAACTCATTTGCACTTTACTGAAATATATTACTGATAACTTAGTAAAGATTGACAATATAATCATCCTTTTGCAAACCTTCTATATTTGGACTGAAGTGGATTAGTTTAGCTTGAAAATAAGTAATAACTGTTATGTAATTAGTTATATTATTATTATTATTATTATTATTATTATTATTAATAATGAATATTTACTTTTAGTTAAAATCATTGATGAAGAAAGACGAGAGAACTGTTAGTCAATAAATATCTGTCGGTTGATAGATACGTGACCATATTACTTGGAAAAAACAAACAAACAATATATATGGTCAATCACTATTTCACTTTATTTCATTTAACCAACTTTTTACAACTCATTTGTTTCTATTCATGATCAATGTAACACATCGGTATATTCTTTATTGCATACGTATATACAAAACGATTTATTAGCCGTGTTTAGATCTTTTTTTTGAAAATAAATTTAATTTATATATTTTAATTGTAATATAGAAGGTTTTTTGTTTGACAAACGAAACATTTGTACTGTTTACGTTCTTTAGCTCATTGAATACTCAACTGACATGTAGATTTTATTTAAAGGATGGTTGTTTGATAGTATAGGTTGTTATTTTCTTTGTCGACTCAAGAGTTGATTAAAATAACTTTATATTATACTTGAATCAATTAAACTATTAGCTACAGGTTTGTGCATTTATTTTATTGTTATATGGACTATTAAGTACACTAACTGATAGTCTTTAAAAAGGCAGCATTCTAACAACACTATCAGGTAAGATTAAAAGATAGATAGGTACTGATTGTCTACAAATGCTCATCATACATAGAATATGAGACTGACCTGAGTTGAGTCAACTGAAATGCCTGTTCAACTGATCCCTGCTTTTGTGGTGTAACAGCTTGACCTGGTACATATTGGTCCCACATTTTATTTTGACTTTAATTAACCCATCTACTTTTTATGATAAAAGGATGGTCAAAAAATCTTCATTTTCTATATCACTTATTCGCTGTCCATATTTTCTAATTATACTACTAAATATATCAGGGAACTTCTATCCTAGTAGACTAATTATGTTTAATAGTAATATTTTCCGTTAAATTGTAATAGATATTTTTCACAGCAACAATTAGTCTTTTAGCTTCTATGAAAATTAATCTTATCAGTGTAGCATTTGTTAAATAATTACATTAATAAGAAGTTATGTGTTTCTCATGTTTATGTTAGCAGGATCAATAATATACATTAGACTAAAGTTTTAATGAACTTAGGAAGCCCATTCATTTGAGTTTGAGATTCTTTAACAATCCGCATTAATGGTCACACACTTAATCTATCTCATGATAACAATATTATTAGATTACTACCTAATGGCCTTCATTTTCAACTTCATTCACTTAACTACATAACTCAGTCTTCAAATATAATTGATTAGTTACTGTCTCACTCCACAGTTCATCGTCTCTTTGTAGAGAAACTCACCAATACGCTCATGGTTATGACAAGCATTCCTTTTTTTAGTGGTTTCTTTGATAGGCCAGCAACACAACAACAGGACAAACTAAACTCTTCCACTGCGCCTCACCCTTGCTAACTAGAGGGAGAAAACCAGATTCAGTCGATGAAAAAGTATATTCTACAAGCAGTCCGAAACCATGAACGGAAAAGCACACAACTCATGAATATATATACAGTACAAAAATGTCCTTGGGAAACGTCACGAAAAGTGTACTGAAAGAGATAATGAACCAATGACATTTAGGATCCTCCTAGGTGGGAAATACAAACTGAAGGTAAAAGTGGTCGCTTCTGGCGCGAAAATGAGAAATTCGAATTTTCAAAAATGAGACGTTTACCAAGTGTTTCTTGAGGATCCAACATCTATAGCACTACCGAAAACCAGTACACTCGGATCTCTATATCAAATTCAATTCGGCATATCCATTCAGTACAGAAATCTTTCCAAATGAGCAAGCAAGATTATTACATCTGGAGAGGATAAACAAAAATAACAAAAATATTTAATTGAGATCTTACAACTTAATAATTTTCTTATGAAATTTACAAAAAATCCGATAAAACTTTTAGATAATAGTTCGAATGAAATAGCATGTATTGGTACTGCAGTTTTACCATACTGCATTGATACATCAAACAAATCTACAGAGTCTTAAAACAACCAGCACCCTTCAAAATGCCTTAGTTCATATAAAGGATATTAACCCCTTTATGTCAGCACAGAATTGCGTCTACAAGGAAGGGCGTGAAGTTGTAGTTTTCCATATATCGCTAAATCCCACTACCCTCTATATAAAAGAAAGCCTTATTATCCATCTGACTTAGTCTATCTATCTGAATGCCCTGGTACGGCCGAGAGTGGGGAGAGTCCGCTCTCCCTCTCGAAATACTCTCACACGGCCACGCGTATATAGCCTCTGCCAGGGAAGTCCTACTCATTGCCTTCTCGTGGCGGGGGTGTTGTTTACGAAAATGAGAGGACGAGAAGCGAATGTCCGGCGCTTTAACCGGATTCCAAACCAATGGTGCACATGGGCTCCAGTATCCTGCGGGAACGAATGGCGTATGAACCAATCGTTGGTCACCGGCTACCATGGGACTGCATCTCCTCACGATGCTCCACTGCCTTGTGGGTTAGACCTTTAGGTCAAAGGCTCGGGGAGTGGCCCCCTAAGATAACCACCTGCTTCGGTTTGGGCACCCGGGCAGTATCACAGCCCACACACAAATGATGAACTGTTTATGTCTATGGAAACTACTTTTGTCGCTTTGAATAACAATCAATTGATTCAAATTATGATCACTTCAATTATTGTCATTATTAATACTAATATTATTATTACTACTATTATTGTCATTATTGTTATTATTATCATTATTATTATTATTTTCCACATTATTCACCTTCTTTTATACTTATACAGCGGCTCGTCTTTGGTGGAATTCCGACTGTATCTAAACGTTCTCGAGTCACTGTCCGGTTGAAAATTGTATGTTACCACCGAATACGAGGACTGAAGCAGATTTTCTGAAACCACGTGCGCCATTCAAACTGGCTGCCTTCAACGTTCGCAAACTTATGCAGGTCGGACAACAGATAGGGCTGGCTATGTCTTTGGAAAGTCTTAATATCGACGTGTGTTGTCTATCCGAGACCCGTATTCAAGACTCTGGTGAAGTACTACAAATTCGATCTCCATCTGTCGCTTCGAAAAGCTTGTTTTACGTGCGCTTATCCGGGGACCCTGTGGCATCTTCGTCTGGTTTTGCTGGCGTTGGTATCGCACTAAGCGCTAGAGCTGAGGCAGCACTAGTCGATTGGATCCCCATTAACAGTCGGTTATGTGCTGTTAGATTAGAAAGTTCCATCAAAGTGAGAAGAAATCGGCGTGAGAAACGATGTCTTTTCGTCATCTCCGCCTATGCCCCGACAGATTGCAGCCCGGATGCAATCAAGGATGAGTTTTACCACCAGTTATCAGTTCTTCTCCAGAAAGTGCGTTCGACAGATATTGTAGTACTAGCCGGAGACTTGAATGCTCAGGTCGGGCGTCTAGGCACAGAAGAGAGTCGTTTAGGTGGCCGATGGGGACTCGTTGGTCGCAGGTCAGATAACGGGGACCGTCTACTGCAACTATGCACAGACCACAACCTGTTTCTGGCTAGCACTAACTTTCGGCACAGTCATCGCCGATGTGCCACCTGGCGTCCACCCTCTGCATCCCAAGCCTGGACTCAGATTGATCACATCGCGATCAGCTACCGCTGGCGTGGTTGTGTACAAGACTGCCGCTCCTTTTGGAGTACCTATCTGGACTCTGACCATGCCTTGGTCTGCGCCAATCTTGCCTTACTTTTCAGTGGACAACGAAGTGAACGCCATCAACGGATTGATGTTAGCAAGCTGGTTGCAACTTCTGTTGCAAGTAAGTATCGAACCGAGCTAGCCTCTAGGCTAGCTACCACTCCACCGAAAAGTATAGATGAGCATTGGTTGCAATTGCATGACGCCATGAAAATGGCGGGAACAGTCAGTTGTGGGTTTGCGAAACGTCCCGCTTTTAAGCACTGGGTTTCTTCTGGTTCCTTACAACTCATTGAAGCCCGTCGGTCTACTCCGGGTAACCGTGAGTTTGACCATAAACGAAGGTTTTTACGTAAGGAAATCGGGCAAAGCTTGCGTAAGGACCGAGAAGCCTGGTGGTCGATGCGTGCTAATGAGCTGGAAGCAGCAGCTGCATCTGGTAACTACCGGAAGCTCTTCCAACTCATCCGAGCCACTGGCAGCAAGAAGTCTGGTGTGAGTGAAACAATCTGCGAGGATGATGGGATGCCAATCACAAACATCCATCGACGTCTTGGACGATGGGCAGAATTTTTCGAAGGGCAGTTCAACTGGCCTGCTGCTCCGGCAACATCGGTCAGACTGTCCTGCCCTCCATGGCCGGTGACGACTGATCCACCAAATGAGGAGGAAGTCCACAAGGAACTCCAACTCTTGAAGCGTTACAAATCACCTGGCCCAGATGACTTACCTCCGGCTCTTTTTAAAGATGGTGGTGACTTTTTGACTAAGGAATTGACGACGTTGTTTACAAAGGTTTGGGATCTAGAGAGTGTACCAACGTCATGGAATGAGTCGATAGTTGTCCCTATCTTTAAAAAGGGTTCACGTCGTTCTTGTAACAACTATCGGGGGATAAGTTTACTTCCGATTGCGTCCAAGCTATTGGCTTCCGTCATTCTTCGTAGGTTGTTCAAAACCCGAGAAAGATTGACTCGCGAGGAGCAGGCTGGGTTTCGTTCTGGTCGAGGATGTATTGATCATATCTTCACCCTCCGCCAAATGTTAGAACACCGCCATACTTTTCAAAGGCCAACAATCGTAGTGTTTCTTGACATCAGGGCTGCCTTCGATTCGTTGGATAGGACTGTTCTCTGGGATTGTCTATTGAAGAAGGGTGTGCCTGAGAAGTTTATTAACATCCTAAAAGCCCTGTATAAAAACACCTCAGGCAGAGTGAGGGCATACAACCACCTCTCTCCATTGTTCCATTCGAGCAGTGGGGTTAGGCAGGGTTGCCCAATCTCACCATTCCTCTTCAACTTTGCCATCGATGACATTCTGGAAACAGCTCTGATGAATGTAAGTAATGGTGGTGTGGATCTGTTGCCTGGAGAAAGACTTCTCGACCTTGAGTATGCGGACGATATTGTCTTACTGTGCGATAATGCCCAAGGCATGCAATCCGCACTTAATCAGTTGGCAATCAATGTCCGTAGGTATGGTATGTGCTTTGCACCTTCGAAGTGCAAAGTACTTCTACAAGACTGGCAGGATCCCAATCCTGTACTCACCCTGGATGGTGAGCAGATAGACGTAGTTGAGAAGTTCGTGTATCTGGGTAGCTGCATAAGTGCTGGTGGGGGTGTGAGTGATGAGATCAATGCACGAATAGTGAAAGCCAGAGCGGCTTATGCCAATCTGGGCCACCTTTGGCGCCTTCGTGATGTCAGTCTGGCTGTAAAAGGCCGGATCTACAACGCGTCGGTGAGAGCAGTTTTGCTCTATGCTTGTGAAACCTGGCCTCTCCGAGTTGAGGACGTTAGACGACTCTCTGTGTTTGATCATCGCTGTCTCCGAAGGATTGCTGACATTCAGTGGCAACACCATGTCAGTAATGCAGAGGTTCGGCATCGTGTGTTCGGGCACAGAGATGATAACTCAATTGGTGTCACCATCTTGAAACACCGACTTCGGTGGCTTGGACATGTTCTCCGAATGTCGTCCCAGAGAATTCCACGTCGTGCATTATTTGCCGACTCTGGGACTGGTTGGAAGAAGCGGAGAGGTGGTCAGTGCATGACATGGTGTCGTGGCATGAAAGAAAGCTGCAAAGGACTGGCTTGTGTTGGTCCTTCACGACTCCCTGGCTGGGGTCCGAGAGATGGTGCAACACAGTGGCTAGAGACGTTATCAGATATGGCTCAGAATAGAAGCCAGTGGCGATCCTGCTGTAACCTTCTTTTACTTTCTTCATAAAAAGTGGTTGTGTCTCCTTTACCTGAAAGATTTCTTCTGATTGTACCTTTTCGTTCCGTCGTTACTACCACACTACCTTACTCCAATCTCTTCGTCATTGTTCTCTTTTTCTTTTGCGTTCCTTAGTTTTTTTTTTTTTTTCTTTCTACTTCTCTTCGAATTCCCATTGTTTTGTGTGGCGCATATATATTGGCACTCTCTTGTACCAATATTTATGTGTTCAAATAAATAAATAATAAATAAATAAATAAATCTATCTGAGATACTATGTCTGGTTCTACTCATATCTCACACTATTATCATGTGTACATATTCAACTCGATCCTTTCACATTAAAAATGTCAATTTTCATCCATCAAAACAAACACAAATGTATCGCACACAAATCACATTGACTCGGTCAGACCAGTTTTTTGACTGTTCGCACTAAATATTTTTTGCATTGTTCCTTTGTGCTATTTAAACTTGGGCCAATGTAATTTGTTTTTTTTTCTCCGAAGAAGTGGTCTACACTGAATCACGGAACATCAGGAAATCTCATTTTTCTATACATTGGAATATTAAAAATATATTATTTTTATTAATTACATCAATATTGTTTATTTTCTTTGTCTACTCGTGTGTGTTTATGTTTCATCATTTCGTAGGTGCTGCTGCCGCTTTTGCTCGAAATACTACCGGTGTCCTATCTACTTCATTACCATCGTGTAATAGTCATCATCGTCATAGTAGTAGTAACTTAGTGCTTCATTCAGAAAACATAAAAATGACTACATCATCAGATTCCAGTGAAAGTGATCCTAATAATAGTTATGATATTAACCAACAAAAATGTTGTTCCGAAACTGCAACATCGGCTTCAAGTTGTTCTAGTTGTTGCGCCTGTGGTGGGGGTAGCCTAAGTTGCTGCAGTGGGAGCACAAGCGGGTTCGGGTCGAATTCTTCAGACCTGTCACTTACGAGTAGTGTTAATTATCCCGGAATGAAATGTAAGTTATGCTTCGATATATGTATTTATGTATGAGCGACAATGCCAAGATGTTTTGGATGTGTTTGTCCCCTCTAAATGCAAATTGTTGCTTCAATACTGGCCTGCGTCAATACTTGAACTACGGATAGGGGGGAGAAGTAGTCGAGCGCGTGGAGAACTTCACTCATCTTGAGAGTGTGATCAGTCCTAGTGGGTTTGTGTTTGACGAAATCTCTGCACAGATTCAAGAGCTCGTTTGACCTTTGCCAACTTTGTAGCTGACTGAATGTTCGAAATAGACATATGAGATAACATGGTTAGGGTAATACGTATAACAATTTGTTGCTAAATTCGAAGAATTACAGTATTTGTCAGAAGTAGACTTCATTAGACGTTTAGAAAACTACCTTTTTGATTCTTGATTGAGATCATGAATCGATTGATGTTAGACCATCATTGAAAACCTGGAAGCACTAGACGGCCGTTTTTTCCTACTGTAAGACTCCTCAACAGTGCGATCCATGATCCCGCGTGGGAAGAGGAACAATTGGCGATTCAAATTTATTTCACACTATTAATAACGTTATTCCCCCTTTCAACACTCTTCTTTATTATTAATGCACTTTTATTAATATGTGTTGATGATTATTGTACGGTGATTGTAATTCCTGATCCCCTCTCCAAAGTAGCATAAAGTGGTTTTATTGAATTTTACTTTGATGAAAAAATTCCGTCAGATGGTTCTATCATCATTTATTATAAAATTTTAACTTCTGAAAAAAATAGACATTAATTCTATTCAACTGCTCTGTTATACTTGTGTCTGTGAATAGTTATTGAAATAAAAAATTTTATTTAATTTTTTGCTCGATCACATAGAAATGGAAATGAATTTGTTAGTTATCATGACAACAGAAAGACCATACTTATTATTAAAAGTAAATTGAGTATAACTAATAATAAGGGATTATTGAACATGAAAGCTAATAGAATGTTTAATCCACAAGTAGCAAACTGATATTTATTTTAGTATTCCAATAAGTTATTTTAATATATAGTTTGACCTTATAATAATCGTCATATATGCGTGCAATTATATAAATAAATTGTCGTGATATAAAACAATGAATAAGGTATATATTAATCACTCTAAACGTCAAGGTTCGGTGAATAAATAAGACAATGGTGTACGGTAGCGCAACTTCGTGGATTGGTTGAAGTTAGACATTAACACCGTTGGATGCCGGCTCAGTGGTCTAATGGTTAAGTGCTCGCGCGCGAAGCCAGTAGGTCCTGAGTTCGAGCCCCGGGTGGTGCGGGGTCGTGGATGCGCACTGCTGAGGAGTCCCATACTAGGACGAAACGGCCGTCCAGTGCTTCCAGGTTTTCAATGGTGGTCTAGCTTCAACTGACTCATGAGTTCAATCTGTGAATAAATAAGCGTTTGTAGTTGTGTTTTTTTTTACATTAATAATAATAATTTCAGAGGAAGAAGCATATAATATTTATGCTTGGCTGATTTTGCAGACAATAATTCTTAATATGAAAGAATTATTTTATTTCGCTTTAAAAACGGTGTCGATAATAAATGCAATATTTTATTCTTAAACACAATAGTGTACAGTCAAACGAGTAGTTGTTGCGTAACTTTTCAAATTTATCGAAATTAGAAATTGTTCCCAAGTATATACACCTAGTTGAACAGTATATAATTATGATAAGATAATTTCTCTATGTATACAATAATATCAATCAGTTATTGTGGTTGGGAATTGCACGGTAATTGTTACTAATTTTTTACGTAATGTCAATAGCAAATATTTTGTAAATATGCAGTAAAACAAAATCACTATCTTAATTTTTGAATTTAATTTCCAAATGACAACGCAAATATGATTAATATTTGAAATATAAAGAATTGAAGTTGGCAAAATCATTACTATTAACTGTACGCCATCTAGTTGATCTTAAAGTAACTTATCCAACATATTAGTAACATAGTGTACTTCACGTCTGGATTTATTGGTTAGGTATATTAGAGGGATACTAATGAATCCTATGTACCTAGTTGTAATATTAAACCCGAAACAGCTAAATGTTACAATAATAACCATTTTACAGGCTTATTTCTGACATAATTAATTTCTTGGTCAATCACACTCCTTAATGCGAATAAGGTCATTTGTATCTATATCAACGTTGAATTTTTATATAATAAATAAAGTCTTATATATATATATATACTTTTTATTTGTTACATAGTCTTGCTTCCTGTGTTTTAGGATTTATCAATGTTTCCCTTATACTGATTGGTTAAGTTACGGTTTTATGATTAATGTTTCCACCTTCTTTCTGTTCAAGAGTGAAAAGCTTCTGGAGATTAGGAAGAGGGTAGGAAGTCTGTGTGTTCGTGTTCAAGTAGAAGACTTACTAAGTAGCATTAAGAGTGGTATCTCCTCTTCATTTCTTATTAGTTTTAGCTTTTACGTTAATACTTCAAAATGTTTCACTCGATCAACTCAAAATGGATTCAAGTAACCAAACTTTATCAATTTATTTAACTATTCATTTCATTCGGTTTTCTGCAACCTTTCATTTGTTTTTTCTTGTCTTTTATATCCATAACACATGCTTGAATGTGCATACAAATCCACATATGTTTAGCTAATACACACCACAATAAAAAACAACACAATTATTCAAACTGTACATGTCATGATAATAAAACTGTTGAAATAAGTAATTTTTCAATAGATTACAATTGTTCCACTCAACGATCCTACTGTCATCACCAATCTCGACGTGCTAATGAATTTAGATATCCTCAATTACCACAAACTGGCCAAATCAATATAAATAGTAATGGCACATGCGGTAACAATAATAGTAACGAAGATGAAAAGGGTGCATCTATATTTATAAATGGTAATGCTGGAAATTTTCAGAACTCTAATGATACTCAACAAACATCTTATGTTGCATCGGGACAAAATAATTCGATTGCAAATACCAATGTAACCACAACATCATTAACAACAACAACAACAACTATTCCTACCCGACGTTATAACCGTAGAGTTGTCCTACCTCCAGTAAGAATGACCCATAACCCCGAAGTGGATTCTTTATTACGTGAAATCATGGAAAGGTAATTTTACACGATAATAATAATAATAATAATTTAAAGATGCAGTTTAATAACTCAAACTTTTTTCACCATCATCTTGTGGTCACAAATATTTTTTAGAGATGTAACGTCAGAATATTCCATCTACGGTGTGCTTAGATGGAATTACTCATAGGAGGATGTTACAATAGTATTGCTATCATGTGCACTGAATGCACATTGAATTGATTATTTTTAACGTTTTTACGTTGAGAAGTCTGTATTAAAGATATTGAGTTATTAGATTAGTGTAGAAATGTTGGATACACTTTGTTTTCCCCACTTCATTTTTTTCATAATTCAGTCTAACCCCGTTATTATTTAAAGAATTGTATATTCACCTCAGAAGCATATACTGTAGATGAAACTACAGATCTATTGTTCATTTACCGAAAGCTAATTAGATAGGATGGTCGTAAACTCTGCAAGTAAATATTTCAGTCTTGTACTTTAACTGCAAAATCACTTCTCGTATTCTTTGTAGTATGAATCGTACATAACTCAGACATTTATGAGCTTTTTTAGTTCAGTTTCTAATCCATAAATCATTGTTTTCAATTATTTGCCTTATCATATGGAATTCACAGGGTAACATCAACTGCTATTTCGTCTATCGATTAGGGTCCTAAGCTTCGACTAGTTATGCGCGTCAACTGCCAAGATTAACTTTAAGGTATGACCCAAATATTCTTGAAGCCTATTGATCCGCCGAAAAACTCATTCCTCTCTCCCTCAGTCTTAAGTCTAAATAAGAGAACACGACACGAAGGCTTTTATTATCTGTATTTCAAGTACCCGGTCTTTTTATCTCAAGCACTCATAAGTTTATATGCATACTCTTTTTTATGTGTTTGAGATACATTGACTGAGTGAGAGCCTGTTCAAACCTCTTGGCATCCCATTTACCAACTGTGCAAACATTACGATGATTTCTTCTTACAATCGTTGTATTTTAACTAACTAGTTACATATGTTGGTCATAAGATATACTCATACGCTTTCGTAGAAAGGTTACAGGCCGTCACATATGTTGGTCATAAGATGTACCCATACGCTTTCGTAGAAAGGTTACAGGCCGTCACAAAGCGAACTTCGTTCTGAACTCTTGTAGCAGTCGATAAATCATACTAGAATTAATACATTAGGTATATATTTGGTGAAAATTTCTATATACCAGGGCTTGTTTCGGCACGGCTTTTTTTTTCTGGAAATTCTTAACACATTGAACTAGTAGTAATTATTGTCGTATTTGTCTAGTCCACAGTTTTGATCTAATTTTATCGAATATGTCCACAAATCTTAGTGCCTTGATATGGTATTATTTGTTTGAATCACTTAATTTGGTTATCATTCAGTGATTGACTAGTGTAAATTTCTACTACACCATGCAAATCAGACATAAACCAAGTGATAAGTTGGAGTTACTTACTGACCCACCCTATTGTCCAGGATTTAGCTTCACTTTCTAGGGCATATTCCATTGGTATGGCTTTATTTTTTGAAGGAGAAAAATATATCTTTATCCATCGGTTGTACTTATATTCTTGATTCAGTTAGTCAATAAAATCTGTTGTTTCTCCTAATCAAGTGCCTGTTTTGGATAAACTAATATGAAGCTTCTGTATCGACGTCAGACTAGAGCGATCGCACAACAAAACGACATCTCACTTCTACAGGAGGTTAATCGGTTTTTTTTTAAAAATAAATCTGCAAAAAATATCTGGAATTAAGTGCTTATTGTCTGCAACCAACGTGAGATTTCTTTACTACAAGCAAAATATATGACATGGGATAAAGCGATTATTATCATGATTATGAATCTAGGAAATAAAATTTTGTTGTAAATAATGTTTATATCCTTGAATCTACTTTATGTGTTCCTTAATTGAGTCACTAGGTTAGATTACACTAATCCGAATATACTTTTCTCTTATAAACATAGATCAACAACTTTAGGTATAACTAATAGTTTGTGCATAGGTAAGTGAAGAGTGATAGAAAAGAAAGATCAAAACAACAATAATATGAATTCAGTAATTAAATGATATCCGAAAACAAATAAGACAGATTATGTGATAATTATAGAAGTTATTGAGAATTAAAATAAGATTCGAATCACTTGAAAATAGATATAAATGACAGTTATGAGTTGAAAATTGTCTAGAATTAGAAAATGACAAGACGGGTTACATAGTAGTTGAAAAGGATTTGAAGAGTTTGCATAAGTTTGAAGAATTAAGTGAATGAAAACCGATGCATGAAAGGATGATTTCAGTGTACATAAAATAAGAATTAGTTTGTCGAAGACTACATAACAAAATAAGCACAAATAAAATAACAATAATGACTAACATAAATAATAATTTACCAAGTTAGTGATAAGTTGATTACTGTCTCTTTCTAGACACATAAATCATGTTGGAGTGTCTGTATTGCTTCTGCTTCGGCAAACCGGATACATATTGTGATTTTTGCTTGGTAATAATGTTGAAGGATATATATATATATATAATCATTATTGATAAACCTTATTATTTTTAAATCTTTTCATCATCAGTGCCAATTATGTCACATTATATCATACTTTAGTGTTACGTATTAATGCATATTAATGGTTGCAAATGGCTGATGAGAAACCACGAAATATAATGAATTCATATTATCCTGTCTCAATTATTATTTTGATTTTACTCAAATTTGTAAAGAGAACCAAATGTATGAAACGAGGTAGGAATACTAATTTAAGAATAACGAAATGTATATCGACAGTTCCAAAAGTTTGAACTTGAATAATTACTCTGTTACAACAAAGTATATTTCGTTCATGATTAAACGTAAGATACAAAAGGTTTTTTCTAACCATAACATAGAAACAAATATACATGGACTCAAACTTGATTGATAAGTTGCTTATGATTCTTAGCAGAATAGGTTTGTGAGTAAGACTATATTTTATGGACGACCTTTGAATGAACTTTTAAGTGACCTTGAAACTAGTAGCCAATCAGAAGAGAGTTAGTATAAAGTGCAAATATATTATAAAAAACTTATGAATTACAGCGGATATTCTTCTTTTACATGATTTAAAAACTTGTTAAGGTTAGATAAAGGTTCAGATGTCCTGAAATCATAGTGCATGGACTTAGGGTTAAGGTTAGGGTTTAGGTTCGGGTTGGGGTTATGGTTAGGGTTAGGGTGCACATCTGCAAAAGCCGCAGCCAATGTTACTGGTGACTTCATAATCCAATTTGCAACAATTATCACGATTTGCCTTAGTCTGAGTCGTGATCGAGCGAAGAAAGTGCCAGTTCGAGCAGATTTTACCTCCTAACATATAGTACAACGAAATCTAATGTCATCACGGTAGTCTGCACATCGTGCTGCAGTCATTTGATTGCCGCAGTCACAGATACAGGAACTTCTTAATAGTCCCATCTGTTGTAGTCGCTCAAAAATCACCTCTTCTCTAAAATCTGCTGTAAAACGATCGAATGCGAGCGTCTCTTATTGAACTTAGCGCCATGACCTTGAAATTCCTCAAACGCTTCTGACTGGCTCGTCCATAAATTAGAGTCTTACCGGTTTGTAGTGATTCATCACATTTTACCATAATCATTTGATGAACCACTGAAAAGGACTAAGCACATATTCTGTTTTAGAATTGGGCTCACTCACAACCCCTCCACTTATCGTACCCATGACTTTCATGCCTTGCCACTTGCTCCTATCTTTTAGATGAGTAATTCAAAATCAACTAGTTTACATTTCTAACATCAGTTGGTTTGTAATCTTTTCTCATCATCATCAACATGGTCGAATTTTACTGGTTTTCGACTTTGTATTAGAACTTCTAAATCTCTTGAAGGTAGCCATTAATTAGTGCCTTATTATTATTATTATTATTATTATTATTATTATTATTATTATTATTATGTGGGATTTATGGTATATAACATAATTAAAAATAAATTTTTCAATAGTTGAGATGATGAGTCAATTGAAGCTAGACCACCATGGAAAACCTGGAAGCACTGGATAGCGGTTTCGTCCTAGTGTGTGACTCCTCAGCAGTGCTCATCCACGATCCCGCCCCCCGCGAGATTCTCCACAAAACTTCTGATAATAAGTTTTCATTGTAAAATAAAAGAAAAGCCATTCAATTTTTTTCTATTCCGTTCATTTGGTAAATATTATTTTTTTCTTTTGAATTTCTCTATCTTTTGTTCATCAACAAAAGAGAAAAAAGATGAGGAAAATAATTTTTTTAAAAAGAAAATCCTGATAAACTAACTATGAAAAGAATCAGAGTGAATTAATTCTCTAAAACATTTTTCACTTCAATGTTATTTGACTAGAAAGAATACTGGGTCCTTTTTTTCTTTTTAATATAAAACTCTAATGAATAGAATAAATACAAGTTTCTGTCTGATATGATGTAAGAATAAACATTGTGAAATGCAATAGTAAACCGTGAGCAAAAGTCAATTCAATATGAAACAATCAATTGATCAATCAGTGATGAATAGAATAAACAATAAATTAAAAAAAAGTGAATAACTTTCCAATTGATCAATAGATTAATAGTGAATAAGTTTTATAATTAAGAAACAATTCAGTAATTTAATTGTTTATTAGTTGTGAAGCCTAAATGAAAACTTGATTTTAGATTAGATTGAAACTTCATAGCGGTTTTGAATGTTTTAGCTCACCTTAGAAAGGTGATTTCAAGCAAAGATTTGGAAAACATATAGCTTAGTAACTTAATTATATTTCTTAGTTAAAGAATTTTTATCCATTAATTTTATGAATTGTATACACATATTGAAATAACACATTGATTAACTGCTAGTTCAATGGATTCATGTCATATTAACCGAACATTTAAAGTAATATATAATTACACATTTCAATCATTTGTAAATACATGGTGTAATCACTGTTCCATATATAAATAAATCTTACATTTAACAGTGTTATTTTCTTTATTTCATCGAACCATTTCAGTCTTGTTCTATGCAACAAGTAACTGAAAGCAGCATGGATCTTTCAAATAAATCGATACTTAACAGTTATTTAAATGAAAATAAAACATTATCATTCTCTAGTACAGTACCATTGAAATTTAAACATATATCCGAGGCAAAAAATACTATTATATAACGAGTGATACATTAGCATAGCCTGTAACTCTTTTATCATGCACTATGTCAAGCTATTTAAACTAATAAGAGACTGATCAATTTCAGTCCTCAAACATCAATGGGAAGATTCAAGTAAAACCATACCAAGTGAATTAAACTTCACCCCATTGCACAAGCAAGTGGCTATCAGGACTCAGTAGCTAAGTGGATAACGCGATGGTGTTTGAAGCGAACGGTACTGAGTTCTAGTCCCAGAGTGAACATCAACTCTGAGATGCAGGTACATCCAGCTGACGCGTCCCAAACAGGACGAAACGCGCGTCTTGGATTCCACTGCTAGCCACTATCCATCTTTGCTTATAATGACTTCATTACAATTTGATCAATAGTATTCAACTAGACAACACACAACATCAGTCACTATTTAGTGATTAGTCAATTACAAATCATTTATTCCATGTATGTCTATTAGGAATTTCTTTTTAATAAATTTTTTTTAAACATACAAAGTATAACATTAATTACATCATTGTTTAATATGTTAACATGTCACTGGTTAAATTGTCCATATTGTTTTCTGTTTCAGAACTGTATATTCTACAGTTAAACAATGTGGATTGATATGTTACTACAATGAACCATTTTGATTATTTTATCCATTCGATTATCCCATATTGTTTGTGTGTTTTTTTAAAAAAAAATATTATTCGAAAAGAGCATGAACAAAGATTTAAGCAGAATAACATAAATTCATTTTTATTTCGTCTGGGTCTCGTTATCTGCTTACAACCTGTGATATTTTTAAAAATCATAATTACATAATGGGTTTAAATTGCTAACTGAATATTGTAAATATATACCTAATGTGAAAGAATATTCTACAACATTCATTGTGACAACAGTTCAAAAGTGGGTTAGAAACAATCGATTACATAATGAATAAACATTGATAGGAATTTAGTGAGTAGAGTTCAGTTGAAAGATTATTAATTTGAAAGATAGTTGAGAAAATAAAATAGAGTCAATGATGTAATAAATGCAAAAGAAAAAAGGTGCAGTGAAAGAATATTTGTCACCAGGGCAAGGAAAGATTAAGCACCGTCTCCTTTTGAATACACAGGACAGGTTTTTGACGCCTGATGGCAATGGCTTCAGCAAACTTCAGAAGACTGGAGTTTGGCTGCTTACTAATCACCCTAAAGGATTGTAAAGTATCTACCTAATGTCCTGTCTCAAGGAGATGTTTGGTGATTTCACTGTTCAGAGTCTTTCTTTCCCTTGTTCTAAGACCCATTATGTAATTATGATTTTTAAATATCACAGGTTGTAAGCAGCTGACGAGAACCTACGAAATAAAATGAATTCATGCTATTCTGCTAAAATCTTTGTTCTTGCTCTTTTCAAAATGATAAAGGGAACTATGTGTATGATATTATTATTCGATTGAATTGTATTGCTTGTAATATTTTATTGTGTTAGAGAGGATATGAGATTAAAAAATCACCTTTTGTTTGTTAATTAATCTGACTAAAAATTCATTCATTTATTGGAATGCTTTTCGATTATCTCTAGTTAAGTTTAATGGTTTAGCACTGAAACATCTTGCTTATATCATTTTGTTAAGAATTCAAATTATCCTAACAGAATGATTTACATTGTTTAATTATTATGTTTTTTGTTCATTGTTTTCAGAAATAGTCAGGCTGTAAATTTCGATTCTCGTGAAATGCATATGGCTGTTCAACAAGAATTACGACTTCGTAATCGTACCATTCATACTGCTGCTTCAGTTTCTGGTGGGTCCATTTCTTCAATTAGTTCGGCTGACGGCTCTATAGAAGCCAATGCCGGGTCCAGTAGTCAAACATCAACTAATGGCGTGAAATGCAACCATCATCATAGTTCTCCGAATCATGAACATTTGGCTAAACGTCATTGTTCACATCATTGTTATTTCAGTTGCGAATAAAATGAAGAAAAAAGAAGATATTTTGTTTTCTCATATCTGCTTGGTCTTTAATGTACACCACTATCGTACAGCGTTATCATCTCTGTTATTAGCACAAGTATCAGTCTTAACATACATATATATAATACTCGTGTACAGGTTTGAACTGTGTACTGAGCAATTAATTGGCTGTTAAAGTTTATCTGTGTGTTGTAGAAATTTCATTTTCAATATTTTTGTTTTTAATATTTCCTTTTTAAATTATTATTTTGACTCTTGATGACATACTTTAATTCTTATTGCTTTAGAAAATATTCCTTATTCTTCGTCATTTGTATTTCTATTATATTAAGTGTTTATCTATTTTGCCAGTGATGCATATTAAAACGAAAGCAAAGGGAGTAGCGGTGATGGCGGGCTTTAGAGACGGAAGGGAAGGGAGAGACATAAGGAATACAAATCACCGTCTAAATAGAATGTACAATCAACTTGCCTACAATCTAGAGTACGAGAAAAACACTGAGCTTTTTATGCATATATTTTTGGCGGATATTGTTTTTGTTACATATAACTTATACACTTTCCCACCATATGTAAAGAAAAATAAGAGTTATTTATCAGTGACTGTTTGTCTATGTGTTTATCTTTTCTACTTACACTTCGTCTGGCTGCTAACATTACAATAATATACATTTATTCATATGTTGTTTACATTAATGTTATCTTTCTTTATTCGGAATAAATAATGTCTTCTCTCGTTGTATATGTCAATATATAATGTTTTATTGTTTGTGGACAGTTTGTTTTCGTTCTTTCAATGATCGATCTTTTTTTCTTTTTTTGCAAAACAAATTAGTAGCATCACACAAATATCTCAACTTGTTATATTTTCTGTTCTCGTTACTTACGTTCTTTTCTTTGTTTATCTTCTTTAAACTGCTATGATGTGTACACCTATATGCACGCACATGTGGGACATCTCTAGAGATTTGCATTAATCTCATGTTACATTATTTTTTTAGTTTGACTTTTTTTCACGATACTCTTCTTTCTGTCAGTTATCCTCACTTTGACTATTATTATTATTATTACCAATAATAATATTAGTAGTAGTAGCATTAGTAGTGACTGTTGGTGTCCTATTACACTTTTGCTATTTTTAAGTGTAAAATATAATCAACAAATTGTTATTTTTGAAATCATGTAAAAAAGGATTAGTAGTCAAGCCTTGAGTTTTCTTTTCCTTTTTGTTGTCATTACGTTGGCTTTTTCTCCCGTATTTTACAGTTCCCATTTACCTACTTTGTTCTGTTTTAGTTGTAACTAGTTGTTTCCCTTGTGTGTTTATGTATATCTCTTGTTTACTTCTGTTATTTCCTGGAATTTCCATCTTGCTTTCTCTTAGACCATCTATCTTAAACTCCTCTGAAAGGAAGAAATGTTCAAAAAACCTGATAATATCTACGATTGTATGAATATACACCTTATCTATGCTATTAATTTGTTCTCAAATTCATTTGATTGATTGTGATCGTTAACCTATGTATTATCTAACGGTAAGGATAAAATTTCTATACACATGTTAATGCTCACTAACTATTCAGTCTCTATGATGGTTAGTTTACCATGATTAAAAGAATACCAGTAGGCTAATAACCATGAAATCAATACTGATTTAGTCCCAATGTGAGAATAATTATTTATCAGTGATTGGTCATTCGTAAAAGCCTTTTATTAGTTGAGTCATTTGTATTCTTAATATTAATTTCAAGATGTTACCATATAATTTTTGTTTAAACAGTCAGTCACAACCAACATTCGACACTTACATTATTGTACATCGGTTCAAGTTGCTGAATCACAGCAGCACAGCGAGATGGAATTAAAATGATGGGTAGCAAACGAGTCTGAATAGTGGCAATATCAATGATCAATAAACGTGCGGAACTAAACTAACCTATCGATGTCACAACTAAGACGATAGCTCTTCCCAATTTGCTCATATACGACTAGATAATTAGACTGTTTAGGTCGTTTACAAACGATATAACAGATAGCCATGAAGCAGGTCATAAGCATAATAAGGAATTCAACCTTTAGGGTCAAAAGCGATATATTAAGTAAAAGTGTAAGTGGGATACTTGACAATAAATGATCTCAAGAGCTCTATGCATGCCAGATCAAGTCCATTAGTGGATAGGTTGATTATATTCAACGAAAAGCAATAATAACTTCATTCATAACACCATGAAAGAAAAACAAAACAGTATAGAATTTACAGTCAATGACATTTGGAATATATATATATATATATATATATATATACGGTTGTTCTATTAGTTGGTGTAACCATAAAAGTCTGGAGAACTGATATGATGGAAAGAAAAGTCAATTTTCGATTGATTTGCTCATTATGAGTCTTATTCAACATTACATCCGTTCTAATTCAATGTAATGATTACTCATTGTAGTATTCGTTTTTGTTTCCCCGTATGATATTTTATTCTGTATAATATGCGAGATATTCTTGTATTCCATTGACATGAACTATGCTCAATATGTGATTTATTATAACTCTAAGTATTTGTCATATATGTGATTTCAAAATGGGTGTACAATCAATATATAAATGAGTGTATTTTCTACTAGAGTTGTCGTCGTCGTGTTTTGGGGTTAATAAATCATCACTTATACCAGTCTTTGTGTTCTTTCGCATCGTGGGAATTGCAGAAGTCCTTCGTTCCGGGTATAAGTGATAAGCGTTTCCGACGTAACAATCAGCGACGACCAGATACAAAAAGTAGCATTAAAAGAGTCAAGACAATAAGCATTCAAACGACAAGTTATAACAAGAACAATCCTTCTTCAATTCTTTCTTCATCAAACATCTACAGCTCAAATAATTATTTAGAATAAAGCAATAATTCAGAGATAACAAAAGACGATGACGATACCACATCGTACAAACTGACTAAGGTTGGAAATCTAAATTAATGGATACTTGTGTCAATTGTATTATCTAGGCTATGAGACCATGAAGTCCTAGGTTTTATCTCGTAAGGCGTTGTAGATACGTATTATTGAGAAGTAGTAAACTTGGGTGAAACAATATGATTGTTTCCAAACACTTTGCGGGGTATATATATTTAGTCGGATGAAAATTTCTTTTCACTAGACCCAAACTAACATATCATCCCTCTTCACTTTTATTACCACTGATGTGTATGCTTAACTGCAAATGTTTAGATCTAAATCTTTCTGGGGTAAATGTAGTTCCATTAAATTTTTCGAGCTTGTTTAATGCTAGCTTAGAGCACTCGTCAGTTCACTAGGAACAATTACTGACTTTTTAAATTACATTTTGATTTGATGGTAACATCATATAATCAATGCTCAGGTGTAACAGATTATCCTCAGCCATTACTACAGATGATAACTAAATTAAATATATTACATCAACATTGGTCATTCTGATCACTTTGTTTGCTGCAAAACTGGCTGTCAAATGAAGGATAGTCATGTTAGATTAGTAATTACAAATCCATCATGACTTATTCGATTTTTGCTTACAAACTATTCAATCTAGAATCTTCACTTTTTCGTAAATCCAGTTTAATTAAGAAGATAAGGTGATCTATCTAACATAAATAAACATTCAATGGTGGACTATAAAAAGTTATCTCCATCAGATGTTTTTTGTTCAAAAAGGAAAGAAGACTATTTAGGGTGGTGAAAGTAAAATATAATTGGTCACTGGGCGTGGACAAACAGCCATTTAACCTATTGACTATTAAAAATAGGATTTTCCTCTCATTTATTTCTACTCCGGACTCACTGAGAGCGATTGCTTGTAATTGTGTTGAGTAACGTGTTATCTAGTCTACACTCGTGTCCTCTATTCTGGGTCGTAAATCCTTGGTTTGATATAAAGTGACAAGTCTTACTATTGTACTATCGTAGTATAACAAAGAGAAAAATATTTTAAACCACCCATCATATCAGGTAGACACCCAGTGTTATTTATGACAATTAAGAACATCAAATGATATTAGATTACAAACTTTGTGATCATCAAAGTATATGTTCAAGTTGTATTCAGGTAATCATGTCCAGACATCCAGGTAACTATGATCCATTATGTGAACTAACTGACTGCTAAATGACGTCAAATCTCAGCCTCGACAATTAATTCACTAACCAATAGTTTATAGCTAACCTTTTTATTTCAGTTTAGTGAGTTTTTCACCATTCATATTATTCTTTCATTTGAAAGATTTCACTTCGTGAAAGGGATATATCTTTATGCCTACTAATAACTGATTCTAAATTAAAGTGACTTCTGTTATTAAAACCTTGCGTTTTAATAAGTTAAAATTGTTTATAACACTTGAAAAATGTTATACACCTAGAGTTGTAGATGAAACAGAGTCATTGTAAATAAGAAGTAACTAAATAAGAAAGAGCAACAAATATACGTAGATTAAAAGAACAATAAAATTGGCAGATCACATGACGGGACTACAAGGGAATAGTCACGAGAAAATACAATCTTACCAACAGAATCATATATGTGTAGCGTGGGGTCGTGTCGAGATTGGCTATGAACACCACTACAAAGGAACGCGTGCCAGGATATCCATAAAAACCCCCGGAAGCCAAATACCAGAAGGCAGTTAACAGACCAAGTCGAGATATATTTGCTGACGATCTCGTGGTATCGAAAGAATACCGAGATCGTGCCAGGATACAAGCTTGGTTACTGAGCGTAAGCGGATTCGCGCGAAGTCACAATCGAAGTAAGTATAATGGATGTTTTTAGCACAGTTAAACAAAGAGCACATTAAAACAAGCACTGGTACAATTGGTTATAATAATAATCGTTTTCATTAAACCAATCGTGTTCTCGTGATAAAAGTGAGTCACTACATATGCATTATAGAAACAAAATAGATACATATGTGGCGACCACTCCTACATGGCTGAGTTATGCAGTTTCGATCATGTTCAAGAGTTGACCCTTA